AACAATAATATCAACAACAAGAACAACACCAATATATATGTTTAAACAATAACAACAAAAACAACAATATTAAACCTCTAGGGTTTAGTGTCTCAATAACGGGTCTCAACAGCAACAACAACAAAAAACATATAATATAAATATGTTTAAACATCAGTAACAACAACAACAACGACAACTACAATATAAAACCTATAGGTTTTCGAATCTCAACAACAACGACAACAACAACAATATGAGTAGTGATATTTGACGTACCAAATCTCTGAAGAAGAAGTGAAAAAAAGATTCAGATCTCTGAAGTATAAATGATAGCCCTAAACACATATCATCTTCGTATTGAATATGATATGAGTTTATGTCTCTCGTTGGTTATGGCTCTCTTGTTAAAGGATCTTCGTTAAGATTTTGTCTGTGTTGTTTAGACAAGTGAAAATGAATGCTACAATCTAAAGTTATGTATATCAGAGAAACAAATTCACCTCGGTTGGAAACAAAACCGAGGTGAAAAGTGGCTTGTTTTTTTATAAAATTTCCAGGGAGCAGTCAATTTTAGTAAAATAAAAACATAGTCTGAAGCTAATAGGATTCAAAGTATGTACATTGAATAAGTTTACCCCTCGGTTTTCTAAAAAACCGATAAAATATATTGTATATTTTTTATTTAAAAAAACATGTTTCATCCAAGAATTATACCTCGATTTTTTGATATGTGGTGAAACCGTTGTCATAAAAAATACTTGTTCTAGTAATGCCTCCACCCAAAACATTAACGAATTAGATATGTGAGTCATATTTTCTATAAATTCAATATTTTATCCATATATAATCAATGTGTGACTTAATCACTTGAACTCGAAAATTTACTATACTATACATAACTTTTTTTAACACTATTAATTAATAATAAAAATGGAATCATTGAAAAGTTCAAATGGGTCGCAAATAAAATGATTGATTTTAAGAAAAATCTCGGTCGCTCTAAGAAGATCCTTAGTATATTAATTGTTTTATGCATCAGTTGACACTTGTTTCTTTAGTTCATTTGATTGGTTTCTATGCATTATTCATTGCTTGGTTTCCTCAAGTGTCTCCAAACTCCGACATTAGTCTCTGGTCTACTAGCTTCAACAATGTTTTTTTGTCATTTTTTTTTTGCATAGTGGTTGTAGTCAAATTTTCTATTAACCATGATGTTACAACCAATTTTATTGAAAAAACAAGGATCTCTAATTTTTGTTTTGATGATAACAACATGTAAGAGAATATTTTTATTCTCTAACATTTGTTACATTTTAATGTATTTTCTAGTTTAAGTCTAGTTTATATTTTTATGCATGTGTTTCACTTGGCATAACTAAGTAACTCGTTTTATGTATGATATAATATTCTTCTATCTTGTGTATCTTTTATGTGGTTTATTTTCTTTTGGGATATGTGTTGTGCTAGCCATTTACAGGTCAGATTTTATATCTCCAACTCGCTTTTTGATATTATCAAATATGGAGAAGTTCCTTTGAGTCTTTATTTGCTTTATGCAATTATGGTATTGTATGTAATGTTCCAAGGGGAACACAAAGGAATATCCCAATTACAAGTTCAAATTACCAAGCTTTAAAAATGGGGAAAGTGAAATGACTCATAGAATTTTGCTGTTTGTCTTATGTCGGCTTGTGTTTTGATTATCGTTTTAGTAATTTGGTCTCCTCACTATTAGGTTTCTGCACATCTCTTAGATTTGAGCATTTTCATTAAAATGCATTTTTGTATGCATAAAATAGGCTTCGACCTAAAGTTAATGCAAAATGATTCAAGTTAATAAGCCTAAAGTTTGAATCAAGAAACTCACATAAGCATGATTCAAGTCAGACTAATTCTCAATTCAATCATGAATATTTTATTTTCCTAAAATTCCAAATCTATAAGCGTGATTTGAATAAATGAATTGAGTGACTTGAATCATGAACAAATTGAGTAAATAAGAAAATGCCACTAGAAGTGTGATTCTTACAGCAAGATCTCCTCATTCAATCAAGGAAGAATTTGATTCTAATCACATAATTGCTTGATTCAAATCATGGCTAAAGTTCTCATTTTAGAACCCATTTCGGGTGATATGACTCGAATAAGAGATTTTCCTGACTCAAATCACATAACTCGAATCAAAGGTGCAAAATATGAACTTTATGTTCTTAACTCAAATCATTGTCTCATTTGACTCGAACCATCATTAATCTTGTTCTTGACTTGAATTAAAATGTCAACTTTTACTCATTTCTAGTGCATGTCTCTTGCGCATATATAAACCAAAATTTCCCTTTCAAAACACAACTTGTAGAGATTTTGTGCGTAGCTTGAAAAACGATTTTCGCATACCCATTCATATTTTTTCTAAAACAACATTCTTTCTCAACTAAAACTTGAAGAAAGGCTTTTTATTATGTTGAATTTGTGAGTGTTCTAAAAAGTGTGTCTGAGATTCTTTATAAATATCATCATATTCAACCTCTCACTAACAACCCATTTTGTGTGTTTTAATTTCAAGTCTAAGAGAAAGAAGAGTGTGAAAATAATGTCTAATATCTTGTGAAGTTTTACTTTTTGGTTGAAGATTCAGTGTGTGTTTGGTTGTTCTAAAGAGTGATATCCAATAATGAAAAGTAAGAGTTTTTTCTCCTAAGGGAAATTTCAATAGGATCAGGTGAAAATTATTGCAGACAAAATTTTGAAGTTTCTAGTTCCTTCAGCAATTCAAAAACACATACAAGAAAAAATTTCGTAGGATCGAGTGAAGATTGTTGCACATAAAATCTTGGAGTGTTTAGTTCTGAGAGGGTAAATTGATTCAAGGTTGAGTGAGGTTCTTGAGGAATTTTGGTAGGATCGAGTGAAGATTGTTGCACATAAAATCTTGGAGTGTTTGGTTCTGAGAGGGTAAGTTGATTCATGGTCGAGTGAGGTTCTTGAGGAATTTGTAGTCTAGTGAATTGTGTTTAATAAAAGAAGAACAAAGATTTAGATCTAAGTAGCTTAGCGATTGAATTGAGTTTTCAATTTATCTGCGATTATCTAGTATAACTAAAAGGCGTGTATGATTCTCATTTCGGAAGACTAACGGATTTTTAAATGGCTCGTCATTAGAGACTATACTAGGTGCAATTAAGAACGACGCACCAACCATGTATAAATATTGACGCACAATTCTCTTTATTTTACTTTTTTGGAAATAATAGTATCCAACCTTCCAACCTTGCGACCGACTAATCCAAGAGGACCAATTCCACCGTCCACTAACGACCAACTAATCCAAGAGGATCAATTCCACTGTCCACTAGCAGGACCAATTCCACTGTCCACTAGCAGGATTCGAACTTGAGATCTTGAGAGGAGCACACTCCCAAAATCTAAGCCTCCATCACTAGGCCATAGGCCAACCCTGGGGAGTTGTATGTTAGATTTATCGTTCGCAGTGTTTTAATGTTTAATTGTATGTTTGTGTTAGATTTTGTCTACCAAACATTCTTTTAGGTGAGAGAAAATATTTTTTTCAAAAAACTTAATGATCAAAATTTATTGTTTGGATAAAAAAATATAACAAATTATTAAAATGGTAGAAATTTATAAATTATTTTGTTCAAATTAATCTTATGATATTTTAAATGAGATTTTAAAATTACTCTTTCACTCTATATCATGTGTAATATTAAATTATTTATTATTAATTTTTTAAATTTTACAAGATGCTCCTTAGATTATTTGAAAATTTAAAGCCACCTTTAATTTTTTATTTATTATAAATAGGTATTTAATAATTTTTTAATTTACAAATTTCTCCCTTCAAATATTCAATATTATAAATTGATTTCTATTTTTTAAATTTTAAATTCGACTCAAAATTTTTTAATTTTATAAAAATAATTCCAAAAATTTAGCAATGAATAATTTAATACTCTATTAAAATAAATAAATAATTATACTTGAAGAATTTCAATTAAATTATTTAAATTTGTAATTGTGAATTAGTAAAAAAAAAACTGAACAAAATTATAAATTTAAATTAAAAATAAGTAAAAGAAATATCACTTTCACACCATTAATCAGATTTAGTACTGCATTTTTTTCCATGACAAAACGACAAAAACTTAGCTAATGTTCTAAATCGGTACACATCACGACACATGTCATCCATTTCCACCGCCTATCCTGTAATCCTGTAATTTATTCCATTTTCTTTCGCGATCACACCGCGTTAAACAAATTCATGCAACATTGTCAAAATAAATCAACCCTATAGATGCCTCTTGATATTTATGATTCTATAATTAATCACCATTTTCCATTAAAATATTATTTACTATATTAACCAACAATTCACTGTATGTAAATATTATACCAAACCTACCAAATTAGAAGAGATTTATTCCATTACGTAACGCTACCTAGCTAGCCACCAAAACCAACCACATCTACCACCCCTATCTTCAGAATATAATTATTCCTTTTCCTATAACTACTTTATAATTTTCTAATTACTAAAATAAACCGCGAAAACGTACATTTAGCTTAATTAATCATGTGGTTAAGAAAAGCCAGAAAGATAAAAACATAATAATTCTGAAAGATCATCCATATATTCGGTTGGTGCGAACAATGATCGTTCATGAGAATTCAGAAAACTCATAATTCAAGCATCATCATCGATAAAATAAATAAACGAAAATTGATATGGAGGTAGAGGATTCAACATTAAGTTGATCCATTCGATTGATTAATTCACATATACGATTCAGATCCAATATTTCACATCTTATACAAAGTGAAATATCTATATATATAATTAATTAACATATAAAAGAACAAAAAGAAAGAAAGAAATAGATGATGATGAAAGAAGAGGTTCGATAAAAGAAAAATCGTGTAATTAATTAATTTACGTAATTTAACCAGCGAGCACCAAGGTAGTGTTCGAGACTGAATTTCAGAGAGAGTTTGATCAATTTTCATGTACAAGGACAAGTCCGCTTTGGAAAAGTGGATCTGAAAAACGCGTCCATGTCTTCATTACTCGAAACCTCGAAGAATTGAAATTCATCCATAAGCTTCCTCTTACAAGAAACGAACGGCTTCGGTTTCTTCGGCGCCGGCGGACAATTCAAGATCTCCGGTATCTTGCTTTCCTTCGAAGTCGGAGTCCGGTAACTCTCATCGCTTTCGTTCTCGCCATCAACAACGGCGCCGTCGTTTTCGTTTTCGTTTTCGTTTTCAGCTTCAGGTTGTGTAATTGGAGACGACGGGATATCGTCAACTGGAACCTCGGGGATTTGATCGGAGGAAACAACATCGGCCTCAACGTCAACGTTAACGTCGTCGAGTTTGACGGCGGAGATTCGGAGTTTAGGTAATTGGTGGTGGAGGTGGAGATCGGTGGACATGATCGGTAAAGGCGTGTTTGGAAGGAGAGAAAATTACTTAACGTGATGTGCGTGAAACTGCGTTTGTTAGTGAATATATATAGATAAGTTGGAATGTGAGAAATAAACTTTACGGAAAGCCTTGAAAGCGTGCTTTCGAAGGTAATAAAATAGAGAGAGAATGTGATAAATTTTTTTTTTTTTTTGGTTGGAGGTGAGATATCACTATCACTACAACAGTGTTACAACTTGTTTAATTTTACAGTTCACACACAAATTTAATTACTGTTATAATTATTATATTAATATTACCATTTAATTCAATTATTCAACTGTACATTGGCAGCAATATGATTATTTTGGGCTAAAAAAATTCACTATTGTAACAATTTTTAAATTGCAAAAACAAACAACCATGCATACTTTGGATTTCCCAATTATTTTGTCCTAAGTTCAAATTTACAGGATAAAGGATCGGTTTGTATTGTCTCGATTTCTGAATCAAATCATATATAGTTTTTACACAAAATTGTATTTTTACTACTGAAAATTGACTACCGTCCTTGTTTGGACTTTCAAGATAACTAATTTTTATCATCTACATCTACAGTACATAATAAATTATTTACCATTAGTATAAGATCTGTTTCGGTAATTGGGAGCACTATATAACTTTAATTAATCTCATTATTCATGAGTACTAAAGTTTAACATTAAAAAGGCTTAACTAGATATATTATCTTGCATAATTAAATTTCCGCATTGGAAATATCTATATACTTTTTTTTGCAATGTTGAGGTTTTTATGGTTTATTTATTTATTTATTTATTTGATTTTGAGTAAATAGAGGTAGTAATAGAATAAGAATAAATTTCTGTTTAATCTGGCCCATGCTTTATTGCAATGGCCCCTGCCTACTCCTGATGAGTGATGCTGATGCTCAATAAAAACAATCAACATCGGAGGGAGTTTATATTTTCTACGGAAAAGTAACAACGTACTCGGGTAAACGACAAATGGAACTGTTCCACGTGTAAAAGTTATTTGACTGGGTTGGACAAAATTGTCCTTTGGAATGTTGAGTTTGGGAGATAAAATAGACTCGGTTGTAGAAGATAAAAGTAGTTTAAGGAACGGATATCACGGTCCCTTGCTTTTACGAAGAGTGATTGTTACTGAATACTGGTGGTAATGGAACGTTCATTTTACGTTACAGGCGCAAAATTGCAACAGAATACTACGTTCTTTGCCACGTGCCACACAAAGCGCGTACGAACAATTGCTGGAAATAAATCTTGACTTTTTCCTAATTTTTTTAACACTAATTTAAAGTATATATTTTTATTTGTTTTTATCTCCGATATGTCTTTAGAGTAGAAATAAAAATCTAAACGTAAAACCATTCGTCTGAAAAATCATATATTTAATATTTTTAAAGTCAAAATAATATGCTTTCTCTATCCTATAATGAAGAATTCTTTTGTATAAAAGTATTTTAACATATATAATAATTTTTAACTTTCAATGGAATATTAATTATACCATTCGACTGATATTATTTAACGAATTTAATTTTTTTTTATTATAAGAGTATTACGAGAGAATATTTTTGTTTTAATTGTATTTTTAATTTTACTATTTATTTTTTAAAAAATGTGAATTCTAAAATTTTATAAAAATCTTAGATTTACTATTTTATTATAGGTTGTGTTCTTTCTATTTTTTAATTGCTTATATAATTTATATTTGATTTTAAAAATACTTATTGAAGATGTTTAGTCATTTCGTGTATATAACAATTTTTGAAAATGAACTTTTAATTATGGCCCGTCGTTTCTTTGAAAGGGAGAATTTTCTCTAAAGTGACTTGAGATGTTGAGATAGTACGTTTAATAGAATATGAACAATTAAAAAATTCTGATTAATATTATAGAAAATGGTTTATCAAATGTATTTCATTTAAAATAATGTTTTACTACCTATCGGTTGAGTTTAAGTATTTTCTAGGTGAAGGAGGTGCTGAAAAATAGTTGAAAAATAGCATGTCTAGAGCCTAACATCAATACAAAGCTAATTAATCAAGGAGGCTGAAAAGAGATTGTCAAAAGAATTCAAATATGGAAAATAATTATCTATTGAAAGGAATCTCAACAAGAAAGAAATATATTCAAAAAGTTTCCCTTGATCTAAAAAAGCTTCAAAGATAACTAAGATTTATTCGTGAAACAATCAAGGGAGGAAGTCTTTTAAAACTTACCCCACTGTTTGACCTTAGAGTCAAATTGTACTATCTGTTGGAAGAAGTATGGTGTTATGTCCTGCTCATGTTTGCATCACTCTGGATTATGTTCATGTTAATCTCTTTATCAAGTAACTCGTTCTGTTTACTTATGCAACCACGTGGACTATGGGCTTGCTTGTACATAATTCTTTTATAGAAACTTTTCCCGCCTTTTTTATTATGCCAACAGAGATACTTGTACTCTCTACTCACGTGAATGAGATTTTAATCACTCCAAATTTTACATATTTGTTTTCTGTTTTACCACCTCATTAAGAGATGTGTTATCATCATCAAAATAGGGGAAATCTAGATTTACGTGCTTTCAGGTATGAAGGTTGCAACAACATGTTGACTTTATTTTGATGTTGACAATGCTCTTAAGAGGAATCTTCATCAATCTTGTTGATCAAGGATATGTTTGCTCAAGTGGCAGTGCGTGACAAGTTGTTATCCAACTTGTTATTCAAGGATATGATTGTTCAAGTGTTGGTGCTTGATTTACTTGCTCAAGTGATGGTGTTTGACAAGTTGTTTATCAAGTAATGGTGAGTGGTATGTTACTCAAGTGATGGTGCTTATTCTGTTTGTTCAAGTAATGATGCTTGACAAGTTATTTATTATGTGATGTTGCTTGATGTGTTTGCTCAAGTGATGGTTTTTACAAGTTATTTATCAAGTAATGATGTTTGATATCTTACTAAACTTATGGTGTTTGATGTGTTTGCTCAAGTGATGGTGTTTGACAAGTTGTTTATCAAGTGCTGGTGTTTGACAAGTTGTTTATGAAGTGATGGTGCTTGATATGTTACTCAAGTTTGAAGGTGAGAAAATACTTAGAAGGGGGGTTGAATAAGTATGAAAATAAAAACTTAGAAGTAAAAACTCAAGTATTTTTATCCTGGTTCGTTGAACTCAACTACTCCAGTCCACCCTATCTAGAGTGATTTGCCTTTCTCAAACAAGGACTTAATCCACTATTTAATCAACTGATTACAATAGTAAGCACTAAGAACAACTGTTCAAAGTCTTCTCAAGAACTTCTGATCCCAACTTGATCTTCTTAAGGAACTACTACAATAGTAATCACTAAGAACAACTGTTCAAAGTCTTCTCAAGAACTTCTGATCCCAACTGGATCTTCTTAAGGAACTATTACAATAAAATGTAAGATTAATACAAGTGTATGAATGCTTCTAACAAGCTTTTTCACAACAGTGATTTTTCACTTAATGTTAAGAACAAAAGAATAAACTCAACAATAAGAATATTTTATGAGAGCTTGTAAGAGTTTCTTTTTGAGATTCGTTTGTTATAGATTGCTACTGAAGAAGATGATGAAGATTTTCTTTTATATGCACAGTAGTCTACAAAGTCTTGACATTGGAGGCTGTGTACTGGAAAGGCCTGAGCCTTTTTGTCTTTACATCACATGACTTTTCCTGGAAGTAGAATGCACAGAGAAATGCTTTTGGTCTGTGTTCTAGTGTCAAGCATGAAAGAGGAAAGAGTCGTTGAGCCAAATCAAAGGATATTACTTTGAATTTTTCTTCAACAAGTATTTCTTTTCAGCAAAGTTAATCATCAGGATTTGCATGATCACAGTCTTGGATACCCATCAGATTTTGCTGAATCAGAGTAAGGCAGCAAGTGTGCTTTAGCGTGTAGTTCTATCAGAGCAGAGTTTTATGAATCAGATCCTCAGTACATGCAGCGTGTAATACTCTCAGAGTCTTCTGAAAAACTGAGCTTCTTAACTCTCATACAAAGTTCTTTAATGCTTCAGAGTCTTCAGATCTTATTAGAGTCTTCTGCTTCAGATTCTTCTGTAGCTTCTGCTTCAGATCCTTCTGCAGACAGCGCTCAGATTCTTCTATAAGATGATTCTGACTCTTCAGAGCCTTCCATAGTTCTATGTTCAGATTAATTTGCTCTTGGATGTATATATACTTTAATTATCTGCAGCAAATATTCATGAACCAATTTTAGAGTATATAATTCTTTAATACAAAATTTCATAAGAGTTATCATCAAAACATAAAGATATTACTAAGAGACAATCTGTGTTCTTACAATCTCCCCCTTTTTGATGATGACAAAACATGAGAAATTTTGTTCAATAAAATAAAAACATAATTATAACTCCCCCTGAGATTAAGAATCTACCCCTGAAATGAATATTCTAAGAAAAAGAATACTTCCCTTTTTGCTTGCGTGTATTTCAGAATCAGAGTCTGATGACTTCTTTCAAACACAGAGTCTGGTTTTGCGTTTAGACTTAGAGTACAATTTGCTTCAAGAATCAGAGTCTGGTTGGGTAATTCTCAGGATAACTTCAATGAATTTATTTTATCAGATGAAACAATAGAATCTGAAAGACTTAAATTTAAATATAGTTAATAATATGTCTGAATTTTGTTTTAGTATTTGCTTATGGATTGAATAATCAGATTCTTTTTCTCCCCCTTTTTGTCATAATCAAAAAGATTAGTAAAGACAGAAAAGATAATAGAAGAAAAGCAAAGCAAACAATGTCATTCATTCAGATGGTTCACATAACAGATGATAATAAAGCAAACAAGAGACAACAGATGCAAAACAACAATGCAAAAACATGAAAAGAAACTAAGATTGACGAGATGCAATTAGGGTCAGAAGATCTGTGATCTTTGTAGTAAACTCTTCTTGCTTGGTCATCCAAGTCTTAATCTCTTCAGTGGTTTGTTCTTGTTTGATCAT